AGTCCTCAGGGGAGGCGTTGCCCTGGATGAGGTGGGAATAGGGGGTAGGCTGGGGGGAAGGGGAGGGGGGAGAACAAAGGAATCCGTGGCTGATATGTAGAACTGAATTGTATTGTAAAATAAAATTAAATTAAATTAAAAAAAAAATAAAAAAGAATATCCTTCTCTGTGAAGATGTTTTCACTGTTCATCGTGTAGTCTAAATGTGATCCTCAGAGTCCGCTGCCCTTTAACTTGGAAGGGGACATGTATTACGGGTCTTTAACTCCATATAGGAAATCCCAGGTTGGCGATTAAGAACTCACTAAATTACATTCTTCTGGAAACCTACTGGATCCTCTGTGTAGAGCTGAGATGTGGCTGGTGTGGTGGAATGAACATGACTTTCTAGGATTTAGATGTGGTTGACATGATGAAATGGGCGTAAGTGAGCTGCCAGCATCCCACCACACACATTCATACACAGCAGTTTTGACCTAAGAGCTATCTATGCAATGCATTATAAACACAATTTTAGGTTTGATAACTGCTTGTATAAGCCTCATATTTTATATAATTACCAAAAAAAGAATTTTAGAGTAGAATGAAAAGAACATCACTTAGGTGCATGATTTAAAATAGCAAAACTCTGGGAAATGGGAGGAAAATGTAGAATGTAAGTCTTGTATAATAAAGTATCATTGGCTCTTTAAGTGGCAAAGTATCTTTGAGAATATGCTCTCATTTTTTTTCAAGTACATTTGGAGCTAATATATGCTCATTCTAAACATTATCTCAGAAAAGTGAGGCACATGTCCTGTAATTATAGCTTTAATGCATTTAAAGTAAGATATGCACTTAAGAAATGATATTTCAAGAATATCTGAACAAATTTTTATGTTTTTTTGCTCAATTGTTACCTAAGCTAGAGGCAGTCTTGAATACCATGTCCCTAAAATTCATATTCATCTCACTCACTCACTCACTCACTCACTAACTAACTCATTCACTTACAGAACACCACTGCCAGGCCTAGTATAGATTGTTAGCACCTAGAAGTTAACAAATCAGACTAAATTAAGTCCTCTGATCAACTGCATTTGACTTCTGATGGCAGAAGGAAGCAAATAAACAAAATCATGTTATGATAAGTATGTCTAAGTCAAAACAAAGAGTTACAGAGAGGAAATGGAGAGAGGCCATTTGAGAGAGTGAAGTCAATAACAGCTTGTTTTAAATGTGATATATGAACAGAGACCTACAGGAGTGAGGGGAGATATCCTGTAGTTATATTGAAAGGAACACAGGCCTGGCTAGAGGTGGAATGGGAAGTATAAAGTGTCTGGCCAAAGAATATTTGGTATATTAAAAATAAATTTATAGAGAAACAGAAAATCCGTAAGTAGGGCTGGAGGCATGCCAGTGGTAGAATGTTCACTTGGTATGCGTGCCACCCTGGGTAAAGCAACAGCACTAGAAAATCATTACAGAATTAGTGATAATGCACACAACTGACTGGAATTACATCATGGAATGTACAAATTAGTGTCACTAAGAGAAAATGCAAGTCATTTCTGCCTGAGGCATATTTTTGATGTTGTAATTTTTGTAGGTAAAATAGGTAAGTAAGGAGAGTAACTTGAATAATCCAAGAAATCATTAGGATTAGCTTTGGAGGCCAATGAGTTTAGAAAAAGTAGAAATTTGGAATAGCTACAGTGGGAAAGAAAGCTAAATAAAGATGTGCTGGGTTGAGAACACACTGGGTTTTGGATCCTAGGAAACGTAAGTTGGAGGAGGATTGACTTGGTTAGGGCCAGACACAGGGTGGATAGATTTAGATATGCTGTATATAGAGACTGTATGGGCAAAAGATGGGATTTGAGTGCCAACCACATGGATTGTGGCCAAATGGCTACTATACACTACTGGAATACTGATTCTAGAAATTCCCCTTTGTCTTGCTAGTATTCCTAACATCTATGCCCTTTGCCCACCTAGCAAGACACTGCCAGGAAGCTGGTCAGGTCATTCTCTTTCCAATGCCACAATTTAACAGATTATTCTTCTCCATCTTTTATTTCTTTCAAGTAGAAATATGAGCTGTCATTGCCCCTATAAACTCTTTCTCAGTATATTATTTATATTTAACCCATTTTAAGTAAAATGCCTATAATTTATGATGAACACTGCAGTAAAATTTCATCTCAGGGTAATATTTTATTAATACTCTTTCTTCATAAGCTCTTTGGAAAGGGAAAAAATACTAATTTCCTGCCGTGAGTCTTCAGGATTTTCCAAAGAATGAGTAATACTCATTGCTTTTTCTTTACCTTAGGAGAACATGTTATTTAATTTTCATTGAATGTGTAATTATTGGGGGAGTGGAAAATCTTCCCACTTAATGACTTTCTGGATTGAAAACACACTGTGTCTACAATACTACTGCACTGAGGTGTCTCAAATTTACGCTCAAGCTTTTCTTTTGCTCATATTTTCCATTTCCATTTCTGGGAAATGTTATTATCACAGAAATCTGATAAGATGAACGAACACACACATGACACTTATAAAGATGATTTGTCTACTTCTCTAGAAACTTTCCACCTCACTCACAACAACAACAAAAATGGATGATTTCCAAACCTAGGCTCTTTTGGGTCAACGATTTAAAAAAATATCATTTTTAAAGTAATTTATAGTGAGGCTGCCTTCTAAATCTACGAGTGAGCAGGTGTGTTTGTGCAAATTTTACAGTGAATTTGTGTGTGTGTGTGTGTGTGTGTGTGTGTGTGTGTGTGTGTGTGTGTGTGTGTTTTACTTTACTGAGAATTACAGACAACATTTGGCTTAATGAGAAAGGCTTTGTGGTTGAGCACAATTAACGTCCCAACCCAGAAGAACACTTACCTGTAATGAGAATAGAACCCAGTTCCCAACATTCTGTGGATGTCTTCATACATATTCATGGTTTTAGTTTTTTCTAGATTATAATCATGTTTAATATGTCTCTCTATGCTAAATGTAAGTAGTAAAAGAATATTAATTGATGTGGTGGCACATGCCTGTAACCTCTGCATTTGGGAGGTAGAGGATGAAGGATGAGGAGTTCAAGATCATTCCTGGCTACATAATGAGTTGGTGACCAGTTTGTGACACTTAAGACATTGTCCCAAAGAACTCTAATAAGCAAGCAAACAAACCAAAAGAAAGAAGAAGGCAGGGAGGGCCTAGGGAACTGTGATCAAGTCACTAATGATCTCTTTCCAGATTTGTACACTAAGTAGAACTGCACTCAAGTTCTTTGACTGATTTTCAACACAAAACCCAAATGCCCCTTCATATATTGGTATTTGAATAAGAAGAGAAACTACATCATAAAGATGCTAAAATAGAAACCCTGAAAATATACTTCACGGGTGTTCCAAGTTCTTTATGTGCATTGTTATGGATAAAGCAGCAATACCATCAGGCAGGTCCTACTATCCTCATTTAGCAGAAGTGGAATGTGAGGTTAGTGACTTTGGGCACCAAATGATAAGGATGGACTTATTTCCTTGAGAGGTTTAGTGGGGAAAGTGGAGAAAAACGGCCAATAGATGTTTGGCTCCCACTTGAACGTGTCTTAGTTTCTCTTCTGTTGCTGTGATAAAATTCCCTCGCAAGAGCAGCAAAGGGGAAAGGTTATTTTCACTTACCGTGGTGGGAAGTCACAAAGGCAACCTTGTGAGGGAACTAGTCCTGTTGCGTCTTTAGCTGAGAAGCAGAGAGAGGCAATGCATGCTGAGCTTCCTCATACAGTCCAGGGTCTCCACCTAGAGAACAGTGACCTCCACCACCCCGAGGCAACATAACTCTTCCCACATTAGCCAACATAATGTCCCTGGGCTGCAGAGATAGTTCATCTGCTAAGAGCACTTGCTGCTCATCCAGAGAACCTCAGTTTGATTCCCAGCACCCATGTTTGAAGGCTCACAACTGCTTGTAACTCCAGTTCGAGGATATCCAATGCCTTCTTCTGACCTCCACAGGCACCCACACACATGTGGCACTACACACACATACACACACACACACACACACACACACACACAGAGAGAGAGAGAGAGAGAGAGAGAGAGAGAGAGAGAGAGAGAGAGAGAGAGAGAGAGAGGAGACAGAGAGAGACAGAGAGACAGAGACAGAGAGAGACACAGAGACACAGAGAGAACGTGAGACATAAAGTCACAGTGAAAATGAAAGAAATAAAAGGACTAATCCTTGACCATCGTGCCCAGAAGTCTACCTCTCAGATGATTCTAGAGCCTGTCAAGTTGACAGCACTATCCATCACAGACTTGTAACAAATACAGGCAGTGACAAGTGCTGCTTGTCTGGCAATTCTATTTTATTAATCTTCTTGAGCTTTTTGTTTAATTTGTTTATGAAAATGCGGTTATAATGCTCAGCATATAGACTGTAGGCTTGTAAAGAATAATGCAAGAATACAATAGGACCTGTGTAAAAGTGATCTCATTCTACTGATATCAAGTATTAGAAATACATTCAGGGTTCAGCAGTGCAGTTACAAAGGATGCCCATAGGATTAGTAGGCAACAAATTATGCAAAACTTTATACAAATTACAGGGAACTGTTTTATTGAATCATCTTGCTTTCTTTTTTTTAAGTTTGATATTGCAATTATTGTGATAACATCCTTAATTATGTTATCTTTGTTTGTTTTAAAATGGGGTCTCTCTCTCTACAGTTCTGGCCAGGATGGCCTAGAACTCAGAGAGATCCTCCTGCCTCTGCCTCTTGAGTGCTAGGATTAAAGGTGTGTGCACTAGTCTGGCACATTATAGAACCTTAAGTGTATAACCACCTGAAAGTCAAAGATTCAAATGAAATTCTGTTACTGATATAAGAAAAATAATTGTTTTCAACTTTTGGGAAAACTGTTAATAAATCTCAAAGGGTTTCCAGTTGAATTAGACAGACTTGAAAAGACCAGCAACCAATCGTCCCACTGTCTTAGGGACATATAGGCTACTTCCCCGAGAAGGGAAACAAACAGAAACAAAAACACAGATGGACTGAATTGTAAAACTATGTTAAAGTGGCTCTGGGTTCCTTCAAAGTGGAGGAAATGTGTAAGGTTCAAGGTTGTTCTGAAAACCAGAGCAGCCGTCACAGAGCTGTTCCTATTAACCACCAGCAGCAGATACTTTAAATCTTTCAGGACAAGTACCTCCTTGTGTTGTTATTTCAGGCACCTCTTCTTTCCCCTGAATTTTAGAGATTACATCATAGAGAGAGTGTGAAGTATGACACGAACCCCGAGGCAGGAAAGAAAGCACGCGTGTCACTCATTTCTCAGAGCAACTCTTGGATTACCTTTTAGCTAAGATTATTACAGGTGGCAATCAATTATTTCAGTGGGTCTCTTGGCTGATCCCAGTTTCTCAATTCACATTAAAAAAAATCACAGAAGCTAGTAGGCTGTGTGTAGGTGTAAGGGATACAGTGCTGTGAGTCACACCTTCACAAGACACAAAAGCCAGTAATGATTACAGCGACGGATTTTTAAACATTGGCGTACCAGCAGCCATGAATGTGGGCACAGCCAGAGGGGACAGACTGAAAGTACTGGAGACACTTAGTGTTCTCACTAATTCAGGGAACAGTCTGTTCCTAGGTGAAGGGAATTTGAGGGGGGATTTGGTGGTCAAGTATCTTCTGGAGTGACACATAAGAAACTCAGTGGAAGGCTGTGGCCTCCAACTCCAATCTCCCATCTCTGTTGCCGGACTGGCCTCGTGGAAACACAGCACAAAGACACCAAGGACCGAGAAACTCAGCCTGCAAGAGGCCTCTGGCCCGCCAGGATGCCAAGGCGCAGTCAGTCACGGATCCAAGAGACTCAGAAGACGTCACACGTGACGCCCTGGGCCCTTCACCCTTCCTGCAACCTCGGGCTCTGCAGGCGCTGCGGGGCGTTGCGGACCAAGGAGGTTTGGCTGCCACGGGGGCGGAAGGACCAGAGAGGGCGGAACTTAGGAAAGGGAGGGGACCGCCATCAGAACCGCGGAGGCCACTGTGGCAGCTCCGAGCTGACCCAGGGAAAGCGGTGTTGTGCAATAAATCCGCGGGAGGAGTGGGCGGGAGAGGGCTGGGTGGCCCGGAGTCCGCAGGACCGCGGCAGGAGGATAGCTCTAGTTGTATTCAGACTCCTGCACCCGGCGTAGCGGCCGAGAGAGAGGAAGAGAGCGCGCGCAGCAGAGGCTGCTGTGTGTGCGCGCGTGAGTGTGCGTGTGTGTGCGTGTCTACAGGTAGCAGCGGCAGCGGCGGGGACGCGAGCAGGGGACCCATCTGCAGCTACCTCCCCGCGGGGGATTTTCCACGGCGATTGCTCTTTTGGCTGACGATCCGTGGTCCCCAGGAGATCCTGTCCTCTCCATTTCTACTCTCCTTTAGGAGTCTCCAATTTCAAGTGTGTGTTTGGGGGTAATTTTATTTATTTTTTCCTCCTTCCTCCAAAGCTTCACAGGAATTCTGCATATTGAAGCAGGTGCCTCCTGGCACGAAATCCTTGGATACATTTGCTCTGCCAAGTTTTGCTGCTCCGGTCCCTTCCCTCCTCCAGAGGCTTCTGGGGTGCTTTTCTTTTGGATTTACGTGCAGAAAACCTATCTATGTTTATATACTGGTCGGATAGCTTATAAATACATATACTCGCGCCCCATAGCCTGGTTTTCATCTCTTCCCTACACATCGATATGTTCCAGAGCTGATGGACACCGAGAACATTATTCACATTCTTTTGATCCTGGTTTTGAACAAGGGGAGGGAGAGTGAAGAACTGTTTAACATTCGGCCATCATTAGGCTGCACGCTAGGCACCACGAAGTATTTCTGGTTGCAGAGCAGGTACAACCGGGGCTTAGAGAGAAGGTAAGGGGGCCTCCTGCGTCCACCAGGCCTGGCATTTACTTCAGTCTCCCGGACCGCGGATAACTTCCTGCTCAGGCTTCTCCCTGCCCTCACCCTTTTCACCAACCCTACCCCGTCCCTGCTCTCCGCTTCGCTCCTCCTTTTCCCAATTCCCTCGGGCCCAGGAGGAGGGCTGGGCGCTGGGGAGGGTGACTGTATTGGAGGTGTGATCGTCGGTTACAGTTTAAATGTGTCTTTTATTCCCCCACTTGATCGAGTTTTCCAATCCCCTTTTGGTCTTTTAGCGGTCTTAAATGCATTTTGCCCTTTAAACAACAACAACAACAACAACAACAACAACAAAATGCCATGTCGATCAATGTTTTAAACATGTCTTGGTGCCAACTCTTCCCTACTACCCTCTGATGAAAACAAAAACAATAAAAAAAATAATGAACTTTAATGAACTGGGTGGTTTCTTCAATCCCGGGGTTCAAGGAATCTCCAAAATGCAGAGAAGCGGCAAAGGAGGACGGTGGGCTTCAGCTCCTGAATAAAACCAAAGCCAGCTGTGTCAGAGGGAGGGCAAATCCCCAGAGTCGAGAGAGAGCGAGCTAAGTCTAGGATAAGAAGACCTACAAGGCGAGTCCTTAAAACCCACCTTTTACACCACGTTCAGTCCCTGATTAACTCCTGCTCTGGGGACGCGTTAACCGAACCGACCTTTTGATGGAGAAGTGGGCTCTTCTCTCTGTTCCTGGTCTTCAGCCAGCCTCCTTCCTCCCCCTCTGCCTGTCTGGCCCTGGCACTTTGCAAATCGCCGGTTTTGCGCACCCTCGCGGTGGGCGTTCTCCACTTTGCATCCTGCCCCCGGTCCTTCCTCCACCGCGGTGGCCGAGCACAGGCATCTTTATCTGGGGCTCGCTCACGCACGCCCTCGCCTGCACCCCGCGACTCCCCACCTGCCCCGGCTCGCCCTGGCAGCTCGTCCCCGCCTCCCCTCGCATCCCTGACCCTGGCATCCCTTCATCCCGGCCTGCTCGGGTCCGGAGTGCCCGGACACGGCTGTGGCGGCGGTGCCGAGCTGGTGTGGGAAGCCAAGGCAGGAAAGGCGAACCCAAGTGGGTGGTAAGAGGCCAGCCGAGTACGTGGGAGCCAGGGAAGCCGGAGAGGGGCGAGACAGCGAGTGTGCGCTGCGCGCTGGCCGGGCCGGGGCGGACGCGTGCGGTGGCTCCGAGTCCTCGGAGAGGCGCCCCAGCCCCTGCAGTGAGCCTGCCCGGCTGCGCCCTGGGACCCGGACACCCAGAGCCCGGAGGTCTGCAGAGAGGTACCCGAGAAAGAAAGCACCGATTCGGAGAGTCCACCGAGGGGAGACGCGGAGGCTGAGCGAATGGAGGAACAATGCCGCCTCCAGAAGCAAAGCCTTTCTTGAACCTTCGCTGGAGTGTGGAGTCTGCTTTCTGCTCTGCTCTGCCTGGGCCTTGAGGCTACTTCTGGGCTTGGTTCCGCCTCTTACTTTGACAGGAATTAGAAAGTTGCTCTTCTTCTCTGCAACGTTTCCTGCGAAGCGGCTTTCAGATCTGCGTGCTGGTTCAAGTCAAGATGTCACTTTCTAGATCCCCCGCGAGGAGCAACTAATAGATTATGCATTGTTGGGCAATAAACTCTCCCGGGAAGAGAGGGGTAGTACACCCAAACATTTAAACCGGTCTCCACTGACTCCTACCTGCCTCCGCACAATGCCTTGTGAGTAGAAATAACAACAATAAAAACCCATCTGCGGTTAATTTAAAATTATTTAGAATGAGGTTTTTTGAAACAAGGAATAATTTATTACAGAGGAGGCTGTTAGTCTGTTACAGAATCGAGGGAAATATGTCCCATATTTGAGTCGTTTGTGATTATTCTCATGAACTCTGCCCTGTTCCACTGTTTTCTTTCTTTTTTCCATTTGCAGGACCATCGTGGTACATGTAGGGCTAGGGATATGCGCATTTAGATAGCTAACGTTCTCTTTTACTGTGTATTTTTGTAGAGCATTGACATCCCAATTTCCCTATTTTTATACTAAAGCTACTGTATTTTGTTTAAGTAACTGGAAGTTTCATGCTATATTTGAAATTACAGTGCTTTGATACATTTCTCAAAATTAATTATACTTAAGCTTTAATAGGATCATAGATTTAAAAAATGGCACTTAGAGAAGGTGTGTGCGTTTGACAAAAATCTATGAAATGTCTCAGCGTTCCTAGCTATTACAACCTATAAGAGTGCCAGGTTTTCTTTTGAAATGAGTTGAGCAGCCAAGACCATGTGTGTATTTAAGAATATCTAATGCAAAATGCAAAACCCATTAAGTTTACTGTGCCCTTGGCAGAGAATGAATCTAAGTCTCCTCACACTGCCTAGTGATGGAGTGATTCACAGAGAATGTGGAAGTTAATCATTGCTCAGGCCTTCTGATGACACGGTGTGATGAAAAGAAGTAACTGTTTTCTATAAGTCTGCTATCTACAGTTAGTCTCTACAATCCCCCTAGCAAAAGCAGGACAGGTGGTGATCTTTCAGAAGCAAGCTACACCAGAGATCCTGGGGTGTGGGGTAAGAAGAGCCTCTTCGGGGGCCTCCTTCTCCTAGCCCACCCCTGTACTGCTGTCAGTTTTTATTTTTTATGTGGTTTTATTTTGTGAAAATTTACATTTTTATTTAGTGATAACATATTTCCATAGAAAAATGCTTGGATTGTTTGGAGCAGAGCTACACACAGGCGGTAGACCCACGGTTTCCAGTGCTTGTTTCTGGTGGGGGAAGGGTTGCCTTGAAGTCCAGCTGAGTCTGTGCAGGGTGAGATGGCTCCGGTGAGGGACTCTGAAGTCTCTTCTAACCCCAGTTTCTCAGATTTTATTCCACTTTTAGCGTTTTCATCCAGTTATTCAGCAGTAACCCCTGCCTCTTGCTTCAAATTCCCTTAAGTTATCATATTACCTTTTAAAAAATCAAATAAAAACTTAGGATCATTCAATAGCTAGAACTAGAGAATGCAAATTTAAGTTCTGCTGTTTAATTTTTTTTTTTTTTAAATCTAAGGTTGATGTCATTGACATTTTTGTAGGACAATGGTCATATAGATTTAGGTATAACTGACTTACCTTTCTCTGGGTTTCCATGTGTTGAAACAATTTTTAGCATTTTTTAGCAAAGCTTATTCATAGATATCTTTAGCAGGTTCCACTTCTAAGGTAGTTTTTGTAAGCAAAGCACAATTGGCATTAAGAGTAACACCAGAAATGTCAACAGACCTACAGTATAGAATCGTATGTCCTTTGCCATGAGTTGTCTTTCTTATGTGAAGCTTTATGACAATTTCCTTCCTATTTATGATCATAAATATCATATTATAAATTAGATTATGTTCTCATAGTTATATTTCAGCTGTTTACAAGTAGGGTCACCCATGTCCAAAGCACCAGACTTAATCTTTCTAAACTATAGACTGGTCTTGAAAATGTCTTGACATTGCCCAGTGGTTCCAGTGGCTTACCTGCCAGAGTCCACAGTTTTTGGAGAATCAACTCTTCACAAACTTTACATGAAAACTTCATTTGTTTTGTACTCCTCCAAGATCTACCCTTTGGTCCATTCACGTGACTTTTATTAGTTCCCCAATAATAGTTCCTTTCAGGTTTTGTGCTTCGCTTATGTTAACTCATCTTCATAGATCCAGCTCCCACATCCACTGTCCCATAGTTTAACTCTCTATGACTGTCTTTCTTTCCACCCCTTTCCTTCCTTTATCCTCCCGCTGACATGCTATTGATCCGATGGGCACTTTTTTTTTTTTAACATTCTGATGTTCAGTGTTTTTTTTTGTATGGTGGATTGCTGGAGGTCAGATCAGAAATTATACCAGATTCATCATTTCATTTTGAAATCTTATCCCTATGTCTGAACATAAAGTAGAACACACATTAATAGCATGTTTTCTTCACAACTGTATTTCACTCTGAAGTAATTAATAGCCTAGCAGTGGATTAGGAAAGTAGGGTTTATTTAATATCACATTGTAAGAAGTCAGAGAAAGATGACTGCTAAAGCGTTTGATCAAAGAATTAAGTTTCTCCTATCATCTATGTACTTTGCTCTCATGGTCACAGGATTTCTTCTATGCCACCAAACTCATGTGTGCTCTCTGGGTCCCCCAAAGGAGAGGTTGACAAAGATAACAGCACACTTTGTCTCAGAACTCCCCAACATTGACACTGCTGCTATTTGGGACTGACTAATTTTTTCTTTGTTGTGTGAAAGATTTTGCACACTGAGGATGTTTAGCAATATTCATGGCCTTTACTCTACTCACATGTCCTGTAACCAAAGAAGTTTCTTCAGACATTGCCAAGCATCCATGTGTGAGAAAAATGACTGAGTGATAAGCGTTGCTCTAGAGTGGGAATGAAGAATTCATTTCCTGCTCTCTCTTTAGTAGTGAGGGTCTATTCTGGGGTAATAAATGGGCCTTTATAAGACAGTTATAAAGAAGGAAGATGGAGAGCAGAGCAAAGAAGAAGCGAAAGGACCACACATGTCTGCTCTTTTGCCAACATGTCTCTTCTGTAGTGTGAACTTTCTCGTACTGATTTCCATTTTCATATTACCTCAGACCCATGTCCTATGGCAACTCCTAGGTAACTGATGCTGCTATACACATATTTTGGTGTATATTTGATATTCTGAACAGCATCAGAATCTTTGAGGAGAGAATTGACTCGAGGCTGAAAACTAGGACTGCTTGTTACAGTCATAGAATAAACAAATATGTAAATTTAATCTAAATATTTCAAAAAGACGAAAAAGACAAGTGCATATTGTTCAGACATGGTAAGTGTTGATGAATTAACTGTGATAACAGTTAGACAGCAAGGGGGCTGAATGGAAGCAACTTTGTCTTCTTAACACTTTCCTCCTCAGACATTGCCACATTTTCTGATCTTTCAAGGAAAGCAATAAAGTTTACTGTTCATGCT